AATTGGTCAAGAAATTAACGGCGATCGGTGTCGTATTGGGCCATTAAACGTCTGGGCTATGGTGATTGGCTATTCTTTGTGGCTCTGGTTGCAGAATTGCCAAAATATAGTTTATTAATCACTAAAACCTACTCTGTACGATTTCTTTTGGAGTTTCGTTCACTTTATCCGTAAACAAGACTAGGATTTCGGGCGAATTTCGACTCACTTGTGAGGTTTGTTTTAATAATATACCTTGTTTATGCCTTCGCATGCATTGTTACTTAAGCGTCAAATCTCTTTCACCATAATAGTGAGAGGAAATTGCAGTTGAAAGGGATAAGGTCAGTCAGTCGGCTAAATGAAACAATAAATGGTACAATGAAAAGCCACTGGACGAAGGACCCTATGCTACGTAGATGGAAATACGGTGATGCTTGTGATCATGCTTAATTAGTACTACCCAAATTTCACCTAAATTTGACCGTTAGATGTGAAGCAAGAAAGTGCCCACTATATGTGCAGATGCTATCTCGAACCGCACCTGTAGCGCAAATAATTTTTGAGGTTTGTGGCCTGGCGCCACAAGGTTCAAAGCAGATACAATCAGCAGGGCAATGAGGAGCATAAAGGTCACTAGATGGCCCCGTTTGTTGGACAAGTAGTCACGCCAAGTCGCCACGGCAATCATGCATCCCGGTTCCGCATTGCCAAGAGTGGTTGAACTTTCACTGTTTAAACAATTATCCGAATAGTCAGGGCATCAAAGTTTTAAATTACAAGGAATAATCTCGAAATTTTATTAGGTACTCAAGCCTAATTTAATGGACATAAGAGTAACTTACTCTGCTGCCATTTTCCACGTTGTTTCAATGCTGCATAAGTGTGTTAAATAATTTCGAGTACTGTCCAAGAATATTCGCTTTTTGGCATTTACCCTTCTGAGTTCCATTTTCATGAGCTTAAGTGTACCTTGATTATCTATTCAGTTAACTCTTATGCTCAAACTCAAATCACTTTTTATTAACTAACGCTTAAAATTACGGACTCAAAAACACCAGGTAGAGATTTGGGAATGCATTTAAAATGATAAAAGTTTCAGAACGTCCAATATTTAAGAATCTAAGTGCCGTGCGGATATAAAACAGTTACAACACAGTGAACACACTTGTAGGATGAAAACGAGGTTACGTTAATTCGGTCAAAAAAAATACCCGATAGCCTAGTCATTAAAATTTGATTCTAGGGAAGGTTCAAAAATTGCATTTACACTGAACGTATTTTACCCGAGCCAATCAGTGTGATTCCACTAAATTTTACATGCTTGTCATAAAATGCTCATCATTTATTGATTCCGATCACTTATCCGCGTTAAGCACCATGCGAACTTAAAGACGAAAACTATTTGACTATAAGAACTGAGGTGCGGCTCGATTCGTAAGATGTACATAATTAAGAAGAAACTCCAAAGTTTGTGTAATATCGTTCAACAGAAGGGAGAGGACACATTCCCTCCCTATCAAGAGTGCTAAATGTAGAGACCCAAGACCTCCCAAAAGACAAAAGAAGACATAGTAGTGGGGCAAAACGTATACATTCTACATACGGTAGGTTTTGGGTCTTCCGGCATGGCCCAAAGGCCAGCCCACCCGATGAAGGTACAATGGCGGGGACTCAAAGTAGACCCTTTGTCGAAACATGGAGTTAAACAGCAAACTTATTACACTAAAATATTAACATTGTGCCAGCAAAGCTTAATCAAATGTTTTAGGACAATAAGTTGTTCAGAGTGCATTTCCAAAACTCGTGTAATTCAGATTTTTTGCTTTTATACAACAGATTTCCTGCCGTACACTTCAATTATTATAAAGTTTCTGCGATAAGGCTTAGTCTTACATGCCCTAATCCATTTTAGGCTATTCACAGTATAATATCAGCTGCCGAGTTTTTGACTGTCTCGAACTTTTTTAGAAATGCTTCTCACTGTCATGCCCTTTTGCTCTTGTAATATATGATTTGCTTAAAACGGGCCTGAATTTCTCATTAAGTAGTTATGTAATGAAGCACTTTAGTTGTTTATATCTCGGTTACAGAAACAATACAACTATGTAATAAGATGGTTGTTTATCTCTCGGTATCGGCAAGCGACCACTTTAGACTTGGCCTTTGTACCACGCCGGGTGGGCTGGCCTTCGGGCCATGCCAGTAGCCCAAATAACTTCTCTGTTCTGAATACGTACATTCCGCCCAAGTATTATGTCTTCTTTCGTCTTCAGAGAAGTCTTGGGACGCTGCACCCAGGTGCTCTACCATCATACCTTCGCTGGGTGGGCTGGCCTTCGGGTAATGCCAGCAGACCCAAGTCCTACACTATGCCGAATACGGATATTCTTTGGGGAAGTTGTGGGGTGTTGCAGCAAACTATAGCCTTAGTGCATAGTGAAAAATGCACGCATGCCTTAAAGTTCGTAGTTAGTTATCCAACTATTAGCTTCCTACTAGGCTAGGGGATGTATACGAAGCACAGCTGCCAATTACTTGTGACAGACATCCTAAAAGTTTAAAAAACTTTGGCTATTTTTGCGCAATAATCAGTCTCATGGTCCTCAAGAAAAGTTGCTATTTACACTTTGTAAAAATGTGCAATGCGTTTTCTACAGTAGGGAAATGTCGGAGACAATGTTCCATAATGGGCCAATTACGCAATTTGACGCATATTTACATAGAACATTGACTCACATTTTCCCTTTTTTGGACATTAAAGGTCGTAGGTGTAGCGCGCCTAGACTTCTGGTAGGGGTGGAGGCCAACGACATGGCCAAGAGGAGAGTCACCAAAGAAAGGTGCAATGGCCATGACACAAAGTGGCCCTACTTGCCAAAACCGGAGGTTAAGCAAGCAACCAAAGTATTGCAGCAAAAATACATATTTACCGTGATAAGTGTTTGGGAGTGCACATTATTTTTGCATTTTTAGAAGAACATATATTTAGTGCATTTGAGAATATAACTCTGTCCAAATAAGTCCGAAAAACTCAACTCCACGCCTAATAAGGCCTTCCTGCTGCTTAATAGTTTATGTTTGATCATTACAGCTTGGTTGAATTCCCATACTTTACGTAAAAATTCTATTCCCCTGCCTTTTAGTCCTGTATAAATCGTGAAATACACTGGACTTCACATTGACGATGCTGTACAAGGCCTAAGAGGTAACAGATGCAGTTTATTTGGGTAATGTGTTTTTTACATTGATTTCAGTCACTAATACACTGGTCCATAATTCCAGGTTTTTCGAATGGTGCAGATGATATTTTGAGGGAAGCCCATTTGGCTGTGACCTTGGCGGAGTGTTTATTGTCTGTTGCGAGCAATGAAGGTCTCTTGTAAAATTTTTACATTAATCGAAACTATTTGTTGTGCTTTTCTTTATTTATGAACCTTTGGGCTTTTCTTTGGTTGCCATCATAACTAACTGAAACCTCTTCTCAGAGTTGTTTATTGCCTTGACTGGATGATAGCTAGTACCTCATTTTTCTTTCACTAGTCCTCATTCCAGAAGTGAGATTTTTACGTTTTTTTTTTTAAATCTATTTTTAATTCGAAGCTATGTGCTTTAGCATAGCTGTTACATTCATATCAAGCAATTGAAATGGAATGCTTTGGCTTCCGGCCTTTATGTGGGTAATTTGGTACAAAATCCCTTGCACATAGTTTGCTTTTAATGCGTCACGTCCGCGATGACGTCGTTTTTCGAGGTAACAGATCTTTTTTTCACCACAATCTGGTTACATTGCAATCGGTTGTAATTTTTGGAGTAGGAATCTGAACACTGGGGATTAAATTAATTGGCCGTCTCGTCTGTTCTACATTTACCCTTCTTTACTTAGCAGCCATATTTACTGAATGAAAATCAAGTTGTTTGTTTAGTGACCTAGCGCCCACTATCGAAGCATTTGTTGATTTTACTTAAATGTAAATTATCATATGTTTAGGTCTAGATTAGCCCAGCTGCCTAGTATATAATGCGACCTACCAAAGGCCCACAATATCTCTCGTCTCCGCATCCCCCTTACCTTGCTACAACGTTGGCCAACTCAGGAGATATTCTCTTTTCTTCCGCTGTCACTAGTCACCGCAGCAATTCCTTCTTATTATCATCCCTTCATCATCCATCTCTTCAGCAACACCAAAACAGTTCGGTCTTTTCACTGGTTGATCCCAATATCGAGTTGCCAACAATAAGCGCTAACGAGGTTGAGCAAGTCTTGAGTCAGCTTCAATCTTCATCATCCTCTCAGTCGTCTGCACCACCACCATCTCGAAAGACATCGGGGTATTGGTTTTCCAAAGATGATTCCTTCACTCCTCCTCCGACAAAGCGCTCCTTTGGTGGCTGTGTCACACCTGTAATAACCTACGCAGACCATCGAATGCAGAATTCACAGCCACCTCAGGCGCGCTCCTCTTCGTTGTTTGCCGCTCTTCAGTTGCCTCCGTTGGGGGTTGGACCGACGACAGTTTCATCCTCTACCTCTCCTCCATTGCACGTGGCACTGCGGAGACAGCTGTTGGCACCCTCAACCACCTTTACCAATATCTCAAATGCGGCTAAACAACGTCAAGAAAATCTTACGGTGCGCCTGGCCAATCGAGCCAAATTGACGGCTGCTGCTCGGATTCCTGTTCTCGCTAATCCATCGACGGCCAATTCCGAGTGTGTATGTTTCTATTTTTCTTTGTCTCTGCCGTAGCCATCATTCCAAAGCATCTTGTTTGTGCCATCAGTTCTCAGTCTCATCATATGAAACCTTCCCTATCTGGTAATTTATTGTACCTGTCTATCAGGTAGCCCATGTCTTTCCTTGAAATAAAGTTCACCAGGGCATTTTTCAAAAAATGATATTATGTAAATCGTCACTGTACTAATTCGTAACAGCCTTCAAAAATTCGCCGCTAATTTTTCGATAGATTTAAGAGACTTGAACGCGTAATTTTCATAGTGTTACTTTTGAAATTACTTTCCACATGTCAGTGGCATTTGGACCCGCTTCTCAGTCTTCGGGTTTAGCTACCTCTTCAAGTGCTGCAAACCAAATTTAAGTTGCTCCCCACAGTGGCACCGCCATACCGTGCAGTGATTGCTGTTTGTCTGCCACTTAATGGGCACGTGATGCGTATAACTGTCCCCCTCCCACGCGCTCCTCGCAGTTTGGGGCAAATCCACCTTGTTTTGCTCCTCACCTCCAGCCTTCTTTTCACTTTCCCCATTGCGGCACACAAATTACTGCTGGGTAATTTCTTTTGCTGCCCTTTTGGAAGCACCTTTCCCATCCAGATTTCCCCTACTAGACACAAAAACTACTTCATGTTTCCATTTTCCAAAATGTCTTGCATTCCAGCTTTGTGTTCAGAGCTGTTTGGAGCACTGATTTGCTACATGTTTTCAATCGGTTCACGATGTTGCCTTTTATAAATTTTTTTGCTATAGCATTGTGAATAACATCATTAATTGTGCTATTGTTGTGGACACTTATCACAAACAAGTGAGTGTATTTCGACGATAGGGTATTGGAGGTGTTGGTAATTTACCGGTGCAGTACCAAGTCAGGCTGCTACAATTTTTTGTGATACTGGTGCGTTATTTGAGGAAGTGTTCATTTCACACCAATTTTCGAATTTGATGTGTTCTCTATCCGACACTTTTACCTTATTTGGCTCTGTTTATGTAAAATATTTCAAAAATGAGTAAGTCTAATACAGCACAACTTTTTATGCAATCAAAAGCATGTTTTATTATTTTAGATAAAGACTTTTTACTTAACTAAGGCGTGCGGCATGAAAGATCCTTTCATATTATCTACTTAAAGTTACTTTGAGCACTTAATCGCCTTTTCCAGACCACACCAACTCGATCTATCATATCTCAACCGCCTACCCTGATGACGCCATCTTCCACTGACCACGTCCCCCAGGATCCCAACGAGCGCTTCCGATTTGTTGTGAGTTCTCTTTGTCAAAAAGTGTACTACTCTGCTGTCCTCCGGTTTTCTAATTTGATATTTAACTTTAATAATCCTTGAATGTTTTATTGAGGGCCCCAGTAGTCACTTGATTTTCGCTCTTCAACAGTATATGCCACTATTTTGAAATTAGCAAGATTTCTTGCCCTGAATTCAGACTATTCATTGTTGCATTAATTTCTGAAAGGCCCTATGCAAGATTTTTTGAACTTGCGTTGGGCGTTGACGGACCAGTCATCTGATATTCCATGTATTAAGCCAATTAGTATTGTGTAGAAGTAATAAAGATGGCATTAATGGGCCATCATCTGGGCTAACTTCAGGTGATCCCGGATCGCCAATAAGCATAATTTCGTATTCGTTCTGTGCATCCCCATCAGTTCCTGACGTGGAAAGCTGCTAGAATCCCAATTGAACCACCTTCCACAGGCTTTCTATTCATTTTACATAAATATAGCATCTGTGCCGTGAAAATGCTTAGGTTGGCCGATCGCTGTGGAATCCACATAGGATTACACTATGTTGAACTTAAGTTTGGTTTTTTTTAATTAATATCTTACGTTTTTTGAAAACCATTCAAAAAAATGCATTTCAAGAAATTTTATCACATTCTTTTCTAGTAATCCTTGATGTTTAACCTGGAAAATAAATTGCCTTAATATTTTTGATGTATTATTGCATTTTCGATAAATTGAATCTACGTGTTTCCAGTTTGTCATTTCGCGTACTTTACCTTAGCCAGGTGGCTGATTTCATCACCTCTTCCCTTGATTGTGATAAGTATCTAATTAATCATGGCTTATACTTGTTAATCTACTGGAAACAAATGTACAGCAGGGCCTTATGCTTTTGCTTTTTGCTTTTGTTCTTTTCCTGACTGTTAAAAGCAGAAAAGTTTAGCCATTGAGATCAAAAATTCCACACATTTATGTTGTTACAATTATTTTTGACGGTGAATCATTACTAGGTATGTTTTCTTTTCCTAATAGCGGCAAATTACATTGTATCAACTTTGGGAATATCTATTTCGCATTCTGATTTGAGAATTAGATACCCTAGATTTCGCCCCGACGATAAGCTCATTTTTACAAACTTTGAAACGGGTATAACATTTGCTATTAATTGTGAATTTACCTGATCATGCTGCGATGCCATTTTTAATGTCTTAATCGAATCTTTTAGCCTGATCAGTGTCCTGCGGCAGAGTGAATCTTATGATTAGGAAAGTTAACCATTAGCCTCTTCTAGAATGCTTCCATTGGACCTCTCTTAGGCTCATAACTCCGTAGTCCATTCGTCATTCTGGTTTGCTAACTGACCTGCTGCCAACAGCGTGCTCTCTTTGACAGGTGTATTGTTCAAGAGAATGAAGGATTGATGAAACTACTCTTGTTCATGCTACTTTTTCAATGCTCTGCACCACGTATTGCTTGGGATTTCCGCCAAATATCGAACGGTAGCCGTTCACAAAATTCTCCATGCTGCCCTTAGCAGATTGCGCATTTTTTCAAATAAAATTTTTCCGACAAGTCGGAACTTCGAAAATTTTTCCCTTTCTCTTCCACATGGGACCTGTTGGTTCTGTTCATGAGTAGCCATAGCATCCCAGTACGAATAACCGTACAAATTTTTGCTATGGGCGAAAGGGCAAAGCTACCACTATAAAACTGTTCACTTCCTTCTTTGTGCATTTTTAATTGGGTTCAAGGTTCCTAATTTATTCCGGGTAGAAAGCATGATTTTATTTTTTTCTGTCAGATTTTGTCTCAGTTGGCATCTGTGCCATCTACCTTAGTCGATTTTGATCTTACATAATTTATTGTTTTCGTCTCTGCTTGACATTAGTTTTTTTTTTAGTGCATATGTAAAAGTGAATCACCACTACAATTGTAGTAAAGTCGTTTTCACATCAGTGTTCCCATTGCAACACATTTCCTCACAGCGCTCCCATTTAGGACTAAATAGTTTCTGACTAAACTTATCTTCATTATTTCCGAATTAAGCTCTACGTTTCTGTTAAATCATACCCTCTTCGGCTTTAGTTATGTATTTGATTCGAAAAGCATTTCCTCTAGCGCCACTTCACCACTTGATTTTTCCCCCCTTCCCGTTTGGTAATTTCAAAGGATTTATCCAGTAAACCTGACAATTTCTCGACCCGTTTTTAGTGTCCTCACCCGCGGTGTGGTCGGCGGTACCAGGCGCGAATCGGTTTAACACGTCACCTGGTTAAGTACCACGGGGAGAATGTGGAGGCGGAGGAGGTGGTGACATTGATGCCAAAGTCCGATCCCCTCCCAGCAGCGTCTGGTACTGTCTGCAACGAGGAAGCGACTCTCTCGTGCTCACCTGTTCCTTCCTCTACAGCCGCTGCTGGGCCCTCCTCCTCCCTCAAACTTTGCTTCTCCGTGCGGACTGTTCGGGTGTGTTTCAGCTCCTCTTTCCAACGCGCTTGCCTTATGACTCCATAGCTTACTCTGATTAGCTGCCAAACTGTCAGCCACCATCGGCTGTGCCTAGTGCCTGAAATGAATATATTTACCTCGCAACATTCATGCGTTTTCGACAGCAATAACTGCGCGGATAGATGACCGCATTAATGTTTATGTGATTAGTTTGCTTAACCTGTGTTTCTGTTAATTCTCACAACAATTTAGGTATGAGTCTGGTTCGGTTCCAAATTTCAAACTTTTGGGTTGCCTTGATTATCGGTTTATGCTTGGGAACTTCTCTTCTACACTGGTTCTAGGAACGCCCTTTATGACGTCAATTTTTTCATTTTTTTTGTCTGTAAAACTGATTTCGATTTAAGTGTCCATTATGATACCTATAAACATACTTTAATCTTGGACGTTCTTTCCAATCATAACTTCTCGAATAATTTGGAGAGATCAAGATATGTCCACAGTTATGACTTAATTCTTGATTTTTTTTGTTTAAAGCTGGAATTTTCATGAAGTATAATTTGATTCTGATTTCATGGCCTGTCGTCCACCTCGAATTGGTTTTTATCAGCTTGGTAACTGTATCACCAATTTAAGCATTAGCAAAAATGCATCCCTTTAAGCGGAGTTTACCTAGCGGAGAAATGGACTTGGTAAATATGTAAGAGGATAAATACGGTATCCGAAAAGTGGACAACAGAGTCAGAGACATCGATGCTCGGCACTGCCAGTCAATGTTAGTCACACTACCAGCGTTTGCTACGATGTCATCAAGTGTGCGTGGGTTGGGATCAGTGTTAGCGCCGACTGGAGGGTTGACTATCGCATCTGAGGCCTAAATTCCTGTACTACTTCGGTAATGGTATCGCCTTCAATGTTTTTGGTGTTTCCCATTTATACTAAAACAATTTTTCATCCGTTATGGAAGGTCACTTTTTTAAAGCCATTCTCTTTGCCCACTCGCATGTGTTGTCGGCGTTTGAAACCTTCAGCCATCACCCTAATATGCCTATTTTCAGTCGGATTCCAAGGCAAATTTTGTCTTTCACCTACGTCTTTCTGACACCAACCCATGTCTCGCCGATGCTCGCGCCCTTGCTGGCCGGGTCATCAGCTTTTTCTGTCGTATGGAGCGAGATACGGGTAACCTGAACTCAACTGGTGCACAATCAATTCAATCATCCCGTAATAGATCCTCAAGGTTTTCGACTTTGCTAAAAAGTTAATATACTCTACTGCCATACCCGTCTTTTGTTTCCAAAGCTCATATGCGTTGAACCCTGATTAGTCTAGGCTCAAAGCAAGATTTGTTTCATTCAATGCTCACCATTGAGATAAGAATTTTTTGAACCAATTTTGTAAGCGATTAACCCCGGGATTTAAGTGATTTGTGAAAATACTGGGATTCTTCTCTACTGATCTTTGGTTACCATAAATAAATTCACCTTGTAGGATAATTTTTTTGAACGTCAAAGGCCATAATTTCGAATCATGCCTGGAGTGTATTGCATTCATTACAAAGTCCAATTACCATATTTCTTTACTAGCATTCACTTTTTTGTATGCTTTTTGCATCTTTAATATCTTCATCTGCTTTAAAATGTTGGATAATGTTATGGCTCTGCTTTTACGATGTTGCTGTAGTGTATTTAAAAATCTATGCACTTGGAAAGGCATCACATTTGAACCATTTTCTTACTTCATTATAGTAGATAACATCTCCATTATCAATTCGCCAAAGTGTTTTTTATTGGGGAATTCATGTTTATTGGCATGCAGTACAACTAAGCTTTTATGGATAACACTCATTCCCTTGGCCTCCACGTGTCTAGTTACCGAAGTAAAATTACTTCAATAATATGTGATTCATTGATATTCCATTCAGTAAAACACTAGCTTCATGCCCTTTGCTTTGCAAACGCGTTGAAATGGAGTATGGTGTGGTACCTCTTGTGGTGCAGGTGGATCAGCGATCATCTCAGTCACTGGACCGATCGAAAGTTCAGCGGCGCTATCCTTCGCCTCCACCTCCTTCCTCCTCCACGAGCACCCTTGCCTGTCCTCCTCCTCCTCCCCCTGCACGCACGACGGCCCCTACCGCTGCGGCTCGCGCGAACCTGCGCAGCCAGACCTCACCTAGTCTACTCTTTGATCGCCAAACAACCACCACCGGCGGTGGGGGCGCCAAGGTTGCCATTGTCTCTATGCGACGCTCGCCACCTCCCGTCTCCGTTCCCACTGCCCACCCCGATCCCCTTCTGGTGCAGCAACCACCGCCCCCACCAATACTTCAGCCCCTGCCCCCTTTCCACATGAGCATTTACTCCAATGATGTCTCCGAACGGCTTAGCAACTGCAAGTTGCCTCGTCATTTCATTGTTAATATTCATTAGTCGCTAAGTTTGCATGAATGCTTTCATTTTTTTTTCATGTCCTCCCAATAGAACTGAACTTGCAAGTTATAACAAGTATTTAATACATAAACAGATTCTTAAGAAAACATTTTATATGCGGTCGTACTGTAACGTTTATGCCGGTGGGAAATGCTTAACCTACGGTTCATTTTCTTAAATCTTTTGCTTGCGACTAATTCAAAACAATAGCCTTTGCAATTGTTCTATGCCTAATAACCACTTAATTGTCATTATTTATTCCCTTTTTATGATGCTGAGCGTGCCCAAACTAATCTAGTAAAGTGTGTCCAACGTGAAATAAACTGATATCCCTCAACTAAATATGTAGCCTACTACTCTTTTGTTAATGCTTGCTCTTGGTTGATACGTTATTTCTAGTTTACGTAACCTTGTATTTCAAGAAATTAGTCTTTGCTTTACAGCTGGCGGAGCTCCAACAGATCCTTGGTGTTGTAGCAGTAGTGATAGGACTGCAGCCGTCGTCAGCGTTCCCCAGTGTTCTTCCTCGTGTTGTTGGCAAGACGATTGTGAGGAGTTTGAACATGAAGAAGAGGAAGAGGACTTCTTGGAGGAGGATTGCAGCAGTGATCTGGGTTTTGACAGCTGCTACTACCCCAGTAGGCCTACTGACTCTCTTCCTTGTCTGCTGCACCCCACTTATCCTCGTCATTTCCACTCTCCTCCACCTTCCTTCCACCTCCTTCCTCGCGGCTCTGCCGTTGACCTCTCCACCGCTGGCGTAACGGAGGAATGTTCCAGCTGCTGTTGGACCGCTGATTCAGACTTTTCCAGTTCCCTCGGTGGCGGTCATGGTGGTCGGCACTCTTCGGAGGATGGGAGAGTTCCCAGCACTGGGGGATTCTGGACTTCGCCATACCCTCGGGTGCCTCCAACACGGCAGCGGAAACAACGACTTTCGTCGACTTCTTCAGCCATGCTCCTCTCTCGTCGACGATTTTCGACAACCGTAGAGAAGAAGTTGCGCTGGAGGCGTGGCGACCGTCACGGACGGCGACGCACGGTGAGCAGCAGTGGTGGCAGCAGCGGTGGCCTTCCTGTTGCAGCTGCGCCCAACGCCGCCGACGTCGTTGTTAGCACAGCACAGTCAGCGAGTGTTATCTGTGGTGGGGGAGGCGATAACTCATCCTCCTTGGCAAAGGCTTCCGACGAACTGGTTGCCTGCCCAATACACGATTGCGGCCTCGTCTGCTCTGGATGCGAAAACCTCTGTGAACATCTGAAGGAGTGCCATCTACCCGACTGTATGTTTACCATTTAGGCGTCCTAAATGCGATCCTGTTGCTGGTGTTTACATTTGTTCTACTGTGAATTTGATGGCCGTTTATACAACACTTGACTTTCGCGTTTGTTATTACATAATGTTCCCCTTTTTATCACTGTCTAACTGTTACTTAATCTCTCATTTCTACCACTGAAACTCCTGTCTTGTTCACTAATTTGGTTGCCAGTAGCTGTGCCTAAATCATTATCTTGACTAACTGGTTGCAATATATTACCTTGCGATTCTCCTATATTTATAAACCATAACTATAACTTACCGATTACAGTTTTTTTCCACATTAATCAAAAAGACATCTGTTTAGTAAAATCTCATTTTTCAAAAGGGTCATTTTTGTGTGTTCACTTTATGATTTACTTTGTCAATGAAAAATTGTAACGACTTCCCTATCCGTGCGGCTAATTATCACCATTTCTTATGACTTTTAGACTTTATCATTTTTGATCACTAATTATTCCTACTTTCACACGAGTTGCTACACTTTACTAATATTTATGAGTTCTGATATTTTTACTTAACAAGGCGGTAGCTTCTGAAACCCCAGGTTCAAGTATTCACCATCTTATTGCTTCTTTCCATAAGACTGAGGAGCTCTACTTGCTAGTTAAACTACTTCCTTTCTTCAGATTTGGATTGCCTTAAAATTTCAGTTGCGATTTTCTAGTTTATTCACACGTCTCTGGGCTCCACTTTGCATGCATATCATTTCGTGTTTTACCTGTCATCATCAGTCGTCCTATCTACCTGTTCATGGCTGTTTCGACCCAGCATTGGCGGTTTATCTGATTTTTGTGGCATGTCTGAGGTTATGCCTATTTTACGTCTTTAACCACAGGGTTGACAATGTTCGAAATTCCTTTTGGAGGTTTTCATTAAGCTCAGGCAAGATGTTTTTTGTTATTAGCGTCGTTCTGCTAGCTGGACATGCGATCTCGTCTCACTTTTTCGAGCCGACGCTTGAACCAGTTGGAGCACTTGTTATGACCAACGGTTGGGCCTCATAGGATTTGCTTTATTTTTGAGAAAAGCAGCAGTTTTAACAGTTTTCTTTTAGAGATGGACAACAGTCTTTCTCATAGAGATATTTCCACTTCCAGTTCATCATCTTTAGCGATCCATCCTTTCCCTTACCTCTTACTCTGTAGATAGATCCTTAGGTTTTCCTCTTCATTTTCCTAATCACTCATTTAACTCCAAACTCAATGCACTCATCACCGAATGTGGAAACAACGTTGTTAAATAACGACTGCCTTTGATTCCCAGCAAACGGAATGAAATTCTCACGATTGCTGTAGAAACCGAAGAAGTTCATCGTATTTGTTTGTTTCAGTATTTTGAGAAGATCCTAGAACTTATCTGTTGTCGGCACTTGTAACGCTGGTTGAGCAGCAGCGATTTATTTCCACTTGTTTAAACGCACAAGAGGGTAGAACCCTCGGATTGGGACAGCAAAACAAGTCAGACGGAGAATGGCGTTTGATACACCATTGGCGTCGTGTGGCTAGCCAGGTGAGCAACAAATCTTACCGGGAAGCCAAGTGACAGCAATTTTGACGAACGAGTTTTGTTCGGTAGCTCAAAAAGCAGGCAACAGAGGCAACCAGCTCTGACGGCCGACAACTCTTGATGGGGAGGCTGTCCGCTCAGAGCCTGTACGCCTTGTGCGCTGCGTGGGAATGACGACGGTGTCGATGTCAATGTGGCAAGAAGAGCTTATATGCATGTAAGGATGACTAATATGAAGGTGGTTTGTGTCTGGGTCATGACTATACCTTAACTGTAAAGCTATGCTTGAGTCATCCATAGTCCAGGCTGACAGGGCTGAGAGCACGTCTGAATCGTGTGTTTGGTCGTGATGTTGCATTCGCAAGACCGATTTGTGTGCATGCCTTTAAACTGTAGATGTAGTGTAATAGACTCCGTGTTTTTCTGTTTCACCTCTGGTCTCACCTTTAAAACGACAAAATTGGATAAATGAGAACATTTCTTATTTGAGAAGTATGGTGAAAGTGTACAGGTTACCAGAGTTCAAGGATCCGGGTTCGTTACCTCCTCAGAGGTCGATGGCGTCTGTTCAGTTACGTGGCTGTTGTGAACTGATCGCTTGTCACCCAAAAGGGTATGTTCAAACAAACGTAGCGCAGAATATGGGCATGACAAGGCAACAACTATTCGAAGAAGGGACTGAAAAATTAAAAGTAGAAAAAGGGGACAAATAACACAGGTACGAATAACTACATTTAGTAATTCACAGTACCCGTTTCTCCCACTTCTCATCGGTTTGTTGAGCTTGGACGAAACTCGTAAAAATGCAAATATGCAGCTTTGGTTTATGCTCACCCTTATGTTAGACGACTACTTTGCAACTCAAATTCTACCTATCCGGGGACGTAGTGCTTGTAATTAATTAACCTCTCTTCTGTACTAATCGAGGTTGACGTCCTCAGGCGACATTATGTTGTGCCTGTGACTTCGCTTCCTCTCTCTGACTGCACTTTTGCCTACCGTCGTGATTAGTTTTATCGCTTTAGCTAATGTTTTATAGGGGCAGTCATGTTACCTCCATTGTAAGAGCTTTTGCCCAGTTGTTAAAATCTAGAGCGTTAAACGAGAAGCGTCTTCACTTTTTTCACCAACACGTCTCATTCAAATCATTACTTACCAATAGAGGATCTTTCAAATTTCCATTTTTGGCCCATGGGTTACAGTCGCGTATCGTAAATACCCCGCTTCAAGTTGAAGTAAAGGGCTGTCCTTTTTATTGACGGTTCACGCACCCCATGTTCTGTCTCTTGTATCAGAAGATTAGCGTATTTTTTTTTTAATCTCAAGTGAACTGAATACTTCTCGTATGATTCCCGAGTGTTTTAATGCAATTCAATTTCTTTGATTTTCTCCCGTCATGACTTTTAAGGCAGAGCTTACATATGAGCGTCGGGAAGCTCTCTTATTCACGTTTACGTTTTTTACTCGACACGTCGCTCGATTTGATTATTACCTCCGCCTAAAATCGGTTTATTGCATGTAATGTCTCCGCATCACACCAAACTCGATATTCCAGAGCATGTTATTGAAATGTCAAATGCCATCTGGTGTATGCGCTCACGCATTTGGTTGGCTGCCAAGGTGGCGTAGCACTTACGACTGATAGGATACCGTTTCCGTGATAGTCCGCTATTGCATTTCTGCATTCCTTATTGTCACTGTCGTCTTTTGGGTGTTATTTAGAAGGATGGCGACAATCATTACCAATGTCTCTCATTCTTTTTCTCCAAGCTAATAATAATTTTACTGCCAATCCCATTAGTGATTCCCTCCCCTCCCCACTACACTATTCGGCTGCCCGAGTTTACTTGGCACATTTAAACGAACCGAGGGATGGCTTGTCCAGATTTTCACATGCTCCACTTTGGCACCAATCTATGTCAATTTCCTAACCTCTCAGATGTCGCGTTCCTATTTAAAATCACAAATTCTCCTTTGCATAATCAGAAAGTGCTTTTCAACACTGGCTATTTTGCAGCCCAGAATAAGCCTGTACGACTGATATTCGCATGCCCGGTGAAGAGCTGTCGGACATTTTGTGCCAACGAAGCCGCGTTCGAGGCGCACTTCGATGCCCACCTGGAGAGCCACATATCCGGCAAGATCGGGGACTTCTTCCGCCGCACCTCGACCGACTACGAGGGGGAGGCAGCTAAATCTAGCCAGCATCAGCGGCGCCGTCATGTGAAGTCGACTTCGTCTCTCGTGGATCTTAATATGGACGTCTTCGACAGCCTCTGTCTTCCTGTATCCCCTACAGACCAACCCATCTCCAACCGCAGTTCTGACGATCCTGACTGTTCTGTGAGCGCTTCTGCCAAATTCGGCAGTCCCTCTACATCTGTGGCTCTTCTTGATGGTATGAATTCCTCTTTTTTCTACGGTTGTTTATAGCAGTCTTGTATTTTAATGTTTCCAGGTTAAAGCCTATTCATTGACTTATGACCTATTGATGCATATATTTTACTCTTTTTTCTAACCTCACTCAAAAAATAGCTCCATATCGCGTTTAAGTGTTATTTTTTTTTGTTTTCTACTTACTTTCCCATTTCTTAATATTTTTGCCCGAAATACCAGACTCGGGAAGATTATTTTTATCTTTACTCATCAGGTCCTTAGGTTACTTCACCTTAGGTATTTTGTTCCGACTTGGGTTACAGATCTATTATGGAAGGCTACTGTGCAGTAATAGGGTATCTATCGAATTGCTGTTATCGTTATTGCTCTCAGTCGCATGAATTTTTTGCTACTTCGACTGCCGTAACTAAGTATGCTAGGCTTTTCCATAGTGTGTAGCAGTATTTGTTGTCCCCTCCTCATATTCTAACCGTTTTTTCCCCTCACATTTAGGGGAGAATTGGAGTCTTTTGCAGGCTTTGGATCTCCTTCCCGATGACGTTCTGCATGGGTTACTACAGGAAAAAACTGCTGGCGCCAGCACCAACGGTGCCTGTACAAGGCCATCCCCTTTCAGCGCCGGTGGGAGCGGCAACACCCCCACTCTCTCTAACGGTTCCTCGGGTGGCATCGGCAGTGTTCAAGATTCCAGCAGGCAGCATCTTCAGCAGCAGACTCCCATGTTTGTCTCCTGCTCTTCAGCCTCCAGCGGCGAGGTCTCCTCCCCCGTGCACTCGGAGCGCTGTCACCAGGGCTTAGGTGAGGGTAGTGTTGTGAAGCGCCAGAGGAACTCGCTCACTTGTCTCGACTTTCCAAGGGAGGGGCAGACTGGTCTCTCGCGTACTCGCTCAACACAGCTGCAATCGAAGAGGGAGACTCCGCCTCCGAATAGCCTACCTTCGGCATCGCAACTCCTCTTTGTAAGTTTACTCACCTTGTACATGCTTTTTAGGACTTCCCCTTTGGCTATTACTCAAATATTTATATCCTTCAATTATTGAGGAAAGGACCCAGCGAAATCCCTACCTGTTTCACCCGCAAGTTACGTGCCTAAATTTCATGAGTTCCCTCATGTGCTCTGTGAGCCAAATGACTTTTTTGGATCTGCCTTTTTGTTTTCGATGTCAGTATTTTGATGTTAACCCAAAAGTGTGCAAGTTTCTACGTCACCCGGTTTCTCCTGGAAGTATGGAGCCTCAACCCATGCTTCCTCGGAATTGGGCCAAGTTTACCCTAGTCGAACATTTATCATCATTTGTATTAATGGTTTAGATTTACTAATCGATCATGCTTAAAGTTGATTGGATTGGCATCTACGCTGCCTGTTGATACTTAAACCTTTTGGCTTTTACTAGAGGAGTGTCGAAGGCAACACATCTGGTAAAGTTCTTAATGCCACTAAGAACCTCTGCTGCTAAACACATTTTCTTTAAAACATCATCTTATGCTTTGTTGGCCTTTTGATCTAAATCATCACTCAATTTAGCGAACTTCCTTCCTCATTTACCCACAACAATGCTTTAGTTTGCTACCCTTTCTCAAATACGTCACACTATGCTTAAGCAGCACATATGTGTCTATTTCAATTTGGAATTATAATTTCATCACATCATAGTTCACAATACAATATTGCTAGATGTGTATCAGGTCTCCTTCAGCATATTAAGAATGCCAGCTACAGTTGGCTGATTAGCTATGTTGTAGTGAATTCTTAATAGTCCATTCCTCTGCTATTTCAGCAAAATAAGTCGGTGGCATTGCATGCTGTTTCAACAGAGGATCTCTTTCATCTCCCAGAGGCCTGGCAGCAGATGTGTCAGAAACCAGATTCTACTCGCATCAATTGGCAAGAAGGGGAAGCGGAAGGAGAAGGTGGAACGTCATTCACCTTTCCAGGAGGAAGTGAGAGGGTTCCCGCCTGTCACCTCTCCGACACTGACATGCCCCCGCTCTCCTCCTGTCTTTTACCCACCCCTACTACTCCCGCCACAGCCCCTGCCTGTCCTCATCTGCGAAGGTACACGAACCGTCTGAAGCGTCGCAGGCGTGCATTTGGTGAACGCTTCTACACATTTGACTCAAGGCTTCTCCCGCCCCAGCAGAATACCCCTTCTAATTCCTTCGAGGGCTCTCAACACAACTAGCATTGTGCATGTGCGTATGCGTCAGAATCTCACCTTCTCATCTGGTGTCTTTTCTTACTCGTAGTAGTCGCGCCCCCTACCCCCCCCCCCACTCATTCTGTATAGCTGATAGGAGGGTACAAGCCAGTTTCTGATCTCTCACTGCGTGCTGTGCTAAATGTTCCACTGTCGTACGATCACCTGTTCGCTCTCTATTGCCCCTCTTTCCCTTTGTTCAATGCATGTGTTGTATCTGCATTTTCATTTTTCATTTTAACGCCTTGTGTTTCTCTGATATAAATCTTCTATTTGTCTGAGGTTATGTTTAAACATCATGCATCTGGTCTGACTTGGTGAAACACGATGTAGTAAGCCCTCAGCCTGTTTCCTATCCACCCTAGGAAAAAAACAGCCTCACCGGAAGGCATCGGAGGTTGTATATTTAACGCATGGTGCTCCAGCGCGGATCCGCATTCACTGGGGCTATTAACCAACTCTCTCGCCTATGTTCGGTGAGGCGTTCTACCAGTGTTGGAAGAATGGCACTGTGTTAACGCAAGTACAGTGTTTTCACCGCTAGTGAGTTTTATGCGTGGTCATTAACATTAAAATTCAACTTTGCTAAGATGTGAAGGCTAAACTTAAACCCAAGAAGGAAGCTCTCTTGTGTTCGTGACCGTTGTTTGTCAAATAAACTAACTCAGTTCATTGCTTGGGTCGAAGAGCCGGCTGACGTGACGTGCTTTGATAATTTTCAGCCTTTGAATTTCGGTACAGCGTTTGTCTTTTGAGGATCGTGAAATATACTTCCTCACGAAACCAGAGTTAGGTATCGTCCAGGTCAGTCACGGGCCGTTCATGACTCGGAGATGGCTTATTTGCACATTAATTTCACTTATCGTCTATTCGCGATGAAAAAAAAATTTTGATGAGGTCGGGCGTTGAGGAAGTGCTGCGTCTAAGTAGGTTTTTAAGTCCCATCCTATTGAGCGTAAATGATTCGGTGTTCTACCTTCGGCTTCAGGTCATTTGAACAGGAAGACTAAGTAGACGGGAACGTCTCCTGTTTGAGCAGAATAGGGAAATTTACAAAATATCAGTTTGGGGGGAATCAGAGTTTATTTCCTCCCTGGGCGTCGAAGACATCTATTTATCCATTGCGTTGGCACGCAAAAGGTATATTTGGGCAAACAACTATTGCATGCGATTCGCATGGTCAATCCCAACGCTCTCTCAGAGCAGTTCTGTGTGCCTTTTCGAGCAATAAATGTTGCTAATAGTTGTGAGTTGCCTTAGCACTCATACTCAAGAACAGGTAATCTTTGCTGCACTACTTATCCATCTGTTTTAATGCCCGATACTCAAATATAAGCAAAACGGTTTTCCGGATGCCACATTTTCTCCCGAGAAATTCAATGGAGTTCAACTATGGCTAGAATTGTATTCCAAATTTTCAAAGTCAATTGACAAATAATACTAGAGGTTATCTTGACCTTATCCTGTATACCTATTATATAATTTGTTTGCTCGTGCACTGCATATCCCCACCTCCCTTTGAGAGATCAGCTTTGATCATACGGGTGTCAACAATTGTAATCTTCTTACGACGAAGTTGAGATTTACACTTCCAACCTAACATCACATATTTCACCGTAAGACCGAAGCCTTTGAAATAAGCACGATTTTCATAATTGGTGTACTTTTGCATTGTTCCTCATTTAAGGATTCATATTCCTCTGAAAACTTCCCAACGCTCATAAGTAGGGACAACCAACCTATTTAAAGCACAGTGGGTGAAAGAATTTAACTATTAGAGTGCATATTTTAGTGTTGCATAACATGTTAGCGTAGCGCTCCAAGTCATCAATGAGGGATTTTGTCATTATTGCGCGGAGGAGCTGAGGCCATAGCACGAACTTTTGCCTGTGCTACCGAGACAGAATTGTAGCGCATGGGGGCCCAAAATCCCGTGAAATTAAATACACATTTGAAATGAGGGCAGTCCACCATTTAAATACACCATAAAGGTATTACTTAGTGGCTGAAAGTCCAAATAATGAAACATTACCGAAATTGACATGAAAATTGCTCCAACTTAAACTGTGTACACTCATTTTACTAACTACTACACATTAATTACTAGGAAACGGACGAAGCCCTTACATTGATGTAGTCTCCCCAGACTTCCCTGAAGACGAAATAATACATAATACTCGGGCAGAATATATATTCAACACAGAGAAGGTGTCTGGATTACTGGCATGGCCCAAAGACCAGCCCACCCAACGTGGCACAAGAAGACTAACTCAAAAGTCGCGCCTCACCAATACTGAGGGACAAACCACCATCGAATTACATAGCCTCCCTCCTCTTTTGAGCGTCGTCCCCGGCTCTCCCACAGGTCAACCTCCCGCGTCAGCCATTACGTAGTCGGTGTTGTAAAGAAACACCCGCGGATCCTACCGTGCCAGTCACCAAATTAGCGTACAACTGAGGTGATACTTGACCTCAGCGTCACTGATGCCTCTTGGCATCGCAACTGGATCTGGAGTTTCATCTGGTTTAGGAACTTGATTCAGGACGGGGAATTGCGCTGGCCATCATACGTGTCCATAGATGGATGTAGGAACAGTGACCTAAAGGTAGATTTGTGTAAGGAAGGACGGGATTTAATAGAGGTCCATAGGGGACGGTAGAGAAAGTCTGTAACGAAACTTCCAGATGGTTCACGGCTAGTGTCGCTTCGGTTGTTGATAGCTTGCCTGCAGAACACGGGACTGGAATAGACGCCGAAGGTAGACATCAACTTCAATCCTTCTATTAGGGGTCATCACCATTCTCCCATCCGTGGTATATGTACTTCTTCCGCTCCACTAAGGTTTATCGCGCAGAAGTGGAAAATCAGGATGCATGTCCTTTAAGATCGGGTTCGCTTTCCGCTGCCGCCAATGTAGTTCCCGGACTTCCATGAAGACGAAAGAATACACAAAACTCGAGCAGAATATATATTCAACACAGAGAAGGTGTTTGGGCTACCGGCACGGCCCGAAAGCCAGCCCACCTACCAGTGTACAAGAAGGCTAATTCAAAGTACAAAAGTGGCGCCCCACCAATACCAAGGGACAAACCACCATCGTATTGCATTGAGGTCTTGATAGTCTGTTTAGCTGAGCACTTTATTCGCGGACCCTTCATTTTCCGCAGACTGCACTTCCGCTTAGCGGCATGGCCCTCAAAGCACGCCAGTAGCATCTCAGGGGCTCCGCATGATAATAGTGTATTTTCTGCCTTGTCATCGTGACTTCCTTCAACTCCAGGGGAGACTGGAGGGGGGAGACTGTGTCTGTGGCTATAATCATCAGAACAAAAACATGGTTGCAGTAAATTTGGCTTTAATGAATGACTGCTGTTTTAAAAGAGTTAAATTAGCTGAGTAAACCCATCAAAATAAGTGCATGGTAAGTAATAAGTACAATTTTTCTAAAGTTAGTCATGTTTTGTGCCCTTTGGATTTCCAAGGCAAATGGCACTTTTATTTTAAATGGGACTAGGTTTCGCGGACACTTAAGCTACGCCTTTGCACATCGCCGCGGATCCTGGTCTCCGGGCTATGTCATTGGCCCCCAGCCGCCTGCACGTCGGCAATTCATATTCTACTCTGGTATTATGGCTTCTGATATCTTCTAGAAAGATTTGTGGGGCCATACTATTTTAAACCAGTTTAGCGCTTTGTTGTCTTCGGACGTCCACACGTTATCAGGTTAAATGTTGGTCTGACTTTCTCACTCTGGTAGATTCTTGTCTTTTTAAGATGCCTGTAATAATATTTATTGCAATTCTGTATAAAAATATTTTTTTTAAAAAACATGATTGTTATCGAGTAGATTTTTGCCCTTTGGTCCTACAATCCGCCATTTATGCAGACAAAGGTTTTGTTTTCCGCAACCAATACCCCCGCGCAAATAGACGTGGTTGCATTGTCCGTTTGTCGTTCTCTCGGGCTCGGTGGTGCTCGCCCTTACATATTGGAAGCTTGGACCTGTCTCTTGCACTTTAAGCTTACCTATTGTCTTTCTCGAGTTCTTCACTGGAATCACTCTTTGAATGATGTCTGGGACCAAACAGCTGCAGGAGGGCTCTGGTGTCGAGGCTAGTGGCGAAGAATCGGCCGGGGAAATGACCTGGGAAAAGCCCGATTTTGATAGTGGAAATCCCAATTTAAAGTCCCAAAATCCTCGATTGTTGCGTAAAAGGCGCACCCATTACAATTCCATTAGCCATGCGGGTGTCAACGGTCTCACATTAGCTTCAGGGAATTCACCATCCTGTGGTGATGGTCTACTCATGAGTACTCGAGTGCCATATGGGAAAAATAGCAGGAAATCTCGCAACGGTTTCAGACAAACGCCGAAAAAGAGTTTGTTTGGGTTACTGGTTTACGAGGTTTTAGCATCGGACAAGGATGTGTGGATCCGCGTCGGTGATGAATTGGACGAACTAGAGCTCGATTGTGGCGATCCGGATTATGAATCGGAGGAAGAGGTTGTAAAATTTTCTAGCTGTATTTTGAGCTTTAGAACCCAGTTGTTATCGAAACTGTTAAAGCAGTTCTCTCTGATGAGGATTTTGAAGAATTCTTTTCCACCCTTGTCCACGAATACTATGACCACTGCAATGTGGAGGAGGTCATTGTAAGTTTTTGGGGGGTTTTTATTGCTTCCCGACCGTGTCTTTGTCCCATGTTATGGATGCTTCATCCGGGTGTTATAGGATGGTTTGAAGGATATCGCAATGACTCCGTTGCAACGCAGACGCCTGCCTGTTTTGGCTATCAATCTTGCTCTGCAACAAAAAATGGGTCATTGTGAACTGACATCCGAACTTCTGTCTGCCATGTGCGGCAAAGTGATAAGCATGTCTGGTATGCAGCAAGGCTTCCAGCTACTCCTGGACGATATGCCTGACATCGTCATTGATGTTCCCAAGGCTCCTGAGGTAAGCATCTTGTTCCTGTGATTAACTTATTTCTTTGTTTTATTGTCTTTATCCATCCCGTAGTACGTCGGTCGTTTCATCGCTCGAGCTGTTGCCGACGATATTCTGCCACCTAAGTTTGTTCAGCAGTTCAAGGAGGTGAACGCTGCGATGCCTCCGGCGGGCATTTCACCTGTGGTTGCCGACACGGCCCATCCTCCGGTCCGCATCGCGTCTCGCCGTGATAGTGCCAGTATCGCCGAGAGCGTCGGTGCAAACACACGAAGCAGCTCCGGGATCAGCTCTGGCTGCGACGGCAGTGCTCACATGACGCCTTCCGGTGATGCGCCCGTAAATTACGCTTTACAGGCAATCAATAAAGCAGAGGCACTGCTCACGCTGAGCCACGCGTACCGTCACTTGGACATCGTTTGGGGCATTCCACCCAACGAGCGAGTCACCACTATGCTGATGAAACAGATTTACTGCATACTTTTAGAGTACCTGCGCACTGGCAATTTTGAGGATGCTTTGTCATCTCTCCAGGAGCTCGACTCACCTCATTTCCATCACGAACTGGTTTATCAGGTATATTCTGGCCGCCTGTTTTTGTCGTGGTATGTGGTGGGTTAATTTAGACCACAAATTTTCATGCGTCAAGGTTCAGTTTTCTAATGTCTTAAACGAATCTAGTTCTTGGTCACCCTGCGAATGTATTTCCTTAGCGATGGGTCGACGGTTCATGCAAAGTGTTTTCTACCTATCTCTCCAAGGCGATTTTCTTGGTTTTGGCGCGCGAGGCCGACGATCATGTATCGGATCGCATGCTCGAACTGCTTGACAAACTGTGCCGCTCGGTAGTAATCAGCTTTGATCAGTTGGTGACTGGTGTAAAGAGGGTTTATGCCGAGTTGCCTGAACTACATCAGGATTTGCCTATTGTGTACGTCCTTCTTGAACGCTTCTTGCGTGCCGCCGTTGTGAAAGGTTTTTTGCCTCAAAAGCTCGCGAATGAGATGCCTGCCAAGTGAGTTGTCTATAATATTTGTTTAGTTGACGACTCTTGACTGCAATGAAACAATGCCCAGTTGTTCCCGCTCAAACCTACTTTGGGTTAATGTCTGCTCAGCTGTTGACCTTTATTAGAGCTTTTGCTTTATTAAGCCTGCTGCAATTGAGTTTGTACAAATGGCGAAATCATTCGTTTTTAGCACCATGTTGGACCGCGATGTTTGCCATGTTTGTCTGCACATTTACTGCCACATCCTACGTCTAGGTCATAGGACAGTATTTCCTCCATAAATTAGTTCCCCCACCTTTATATGCATGTATTCGCCTGTGGTATTTTTCAAGTAAGATATCTTTTAATTTTGTAGATGGCATTCAGATAGAGACGAACTTTTCGTCCACTTGCGGTGTTCACTTAGTGTTTGCTACCAGATATGATGCTTGCCATTTTTCAGTGACCGAATAACTTGACAAGGCTTCCATCGGCTCCACCATCATCCGCCATCCTTGTTGGACGAGTTAGCTCTACGCTCTCTGCTAAATTAAGCATTGCGACCGTCCACCACTTTTTAAGCGTTATCGTAACAGCTCTTGAATAACTGATGCTCTGTACAGTAGACGCGTTCTGACTAATCTGAAATCACATTTGGCGTCTTTGCAGCGTTAAAATGAAGCAGCGAAAGTCAGTAGCACTGCTTGTGTGGTTAAAGGAATCAATGCATTACCTAACGGGCGGATGTTCTGCAAATTGCCTCAGCGTTTCGTGTGCTCTATCCTAATTATTTGTATTCATACAGCTCGCGCCGTTCAATAGGGGGTCTATTTAGTGCTTCTCATTTTTTCATCTGCCCATTTTACCCAACCATTCACTAATCAATTATTCTCTTTTTTAAAGTCCACGAAAGCGATATGTTTCCGAGGGTGATGGTTTTCGCAAAGCCGCCACAACTGAGCGTGTCTAGGTGCGCGGATGCGTGTTTGGGCATTTCTGCTCATTCGTGTCATCAATCTTCTAATCTTGCACAAGTGTGTCAGCGTTTTTTTCCCAGCCCGTTCCCCCTCCCGCAGCCACCACCGCCTCAGCCAAAAATTGCTTTATCCCCCCTTGCCCCTCTGTGTTTGGTTTCTCTCCGCACCTCCTCCATGAGTGAAGTAAGGAACTCGTAGCCTAGTCAGGCGGTGTTCACTTATCATCGACTTCCCATTTTACCCTTTCCTGTTCACTGCATTCTATCACGCCCTCTATATTGAGGTTAAAAATGCTGTACCTCACCGCTTTTCACTACCCGAATGCGCGCCCATTGAACCGTTTTTAATGAAACAGGCGTATAAGTCGTGTCATTACTATCTTTCTGTTCCGTCTGTCGCAGCTTTGCCCTGTGGCTGTCCGGTATGAGTTCCGGATTCTTTCGTCTCATCAAGCTCACTTTGGCCCTTCCATCTGGCGCCGATAGGCGTTCGTGGTTAGACTTTGTGTGGCAAGGTAGTATTGAGTGCCACAGAGGTTGCTAATACCAAGGTCGGTTGGTAACGCTAAAAAGTCCCCTATTTGGTTCTGCGTCTTTGCTTGGCGTTAGGGTTCGTTTATTTCGGTGTAATGCTACCTCATTTTTCAGAAAAAAAACGGTCATTTGAGAGCTGCGGCGAGTTTACAAGTTGGGTCGTGGGCTTTTGTGTGGAACTGGTCTTACTGTCTTGTGGACCGACGGTATTATGCAGTTCAGGAAATGCCTATATTGTCTGTCATGAATAATTGCTTTGACAGCTTGCGTGGTGTTTGAAATTAAAGATATCCTCAGTTGAGGCAAATCGCCTAGGCATTTGTCGCTATTTGGAGGCATCGCCAGATAAAAATCACTAGCTCCGGTTCCTTAGGGGTACGTCATTTTGTTGGGCTCTGGGGTCTTGGAGCATCGAGGTCTCCTATGAACTAAATAGCCAACGTTTTATTGTTTAAGCTTCTATGGTCGCGACGGGCTTGTTGCCAGAAGCAAATGCAGTTAGCTTCACGCGAATTTTCTAATACTTCAGCTGGTTGAATTTTCTGTCAGGTTCTTAAGCATTTCCAGACCAGTGTTTTTACGGGGGCAGTCGTTAGGCAACCGTGAATCGATGACACCTTGCAGAAATTCAGTGCTCAGGAGGCGTGTGTTACCCATGTTTCTCTTCCGTATACCCCTTCGTGAGCGTAAGGAGCACGGCACCCAGGCGAGGTAGCAACATGAGCCACGGGTTGGTCTGGGTGGGTGCGAACACCCTCGCGCAACGCTTCAAGTACACAAAAGCATCTCTCGTGCGTGCCCACGTCAGTGGAAGCCGGTCGATAGCACAATGCGGTGTGTTTACACATTGCAGTGCAAACAACGGCAGCACGCCTTCCATTTGGTGCCACACCCATCACACGAGCACTCGTGCCCGCTCTGCGCTATCCACTCATGCTGGCACCTAACTTTACCTGCGCGTATTCGGATTGAGGGGTTTACCCCGTTGGAGGTACCAACTCAACTATAACTCTCAAAGATGCAGGTATTCTGAATCCGGTGTTAGTCGAGAAGGCATTCACACTTTTATTCAATCCCTTTTTCTGTCTAGATTGGAAACTCCAATGTTCTTTTTACGCAGTGAGTAATTGCTTCAAAGGGAATGGCCATTGTGCCACATATCCTTCTGTTACCCCTCGTATGCGGCGGTCCCTTGCCTGCTTGGAGGTTGGATGACGAACTCTGCGATGGGGTGTTTAAACACGCCTGCAAGTGTGTGAAACGGGTAGGAGGAGCCAACCATACGACGTGGTCTGCCCTCGCAGGTTAATAGGGTGGGTGATCACGTGGTTGCGACGTATGTATACCTCATGGGATCAGCACCTTGGAACACCTAGTTGTGAACAAATTTCAAGTCTACAAGGGGTGAGTGGTGAAATCTGGTACAGATGTATCGGTCATGGTATTGTACAATAATGTGCGAAATTTTCATTGCTAAGGATGTGGTTTGGCATGTACCGTGGCTACTGGGCGAAATTAGGACAGCGCTTCTTCGAGAATTTTAATTTCCATTTTTTTTGATTGTCTGTGAGCATAGATTAATCGAATAACAGTTACATTGAAGATCCGAAATGGGAAAAGTTTGGACGTGCAAAGTCCTATTTGCTATTAACTATAGTCATTTGATGAACTCCAGGTTTGGCAAAAATCACTTCCAATTTTAAACGTGTATTTTATGTATGATTATCCCGTCGACGCATTGACCTTTGAGATATGCAGGTATTAGAAGAAAACCAAACGTCACGTGACCACCATTGATGACATCGCGTGATGGCCGTATGACCTTTGCATGGGAACCATGATGGGGCGACATTGGCGACTGCCAGCTATTCAATCCCATGCGCCGGCCCGGGTCGATTGCGAACCGGACGGTCGCGGCAGAGAATTGGGCTTTGAATGGTAACTTTGTATTAAAGGCAATGCGTAGTGTTTAGCCCATTCCAAGGTATAGAGTTATCAGTCTAGGTAAAGCATAAAACTGTCGATAAATAGTCTGCGTATTCATTCGTTATCGGTAGACAAATTCGACACTCGAGGGTGAATTTTAGACCGGGGGACACCAATCTTAGTTCGCCAGGCTGAAAAATGTGGTTATACGTGGATTTACTTCAATGCCTACTTCTTTTCCTTTTTATCAGGCTCTTTTTGGAGTAGTTAAGAGCGCTTTGGCATTTGCCTTACTAATCAGAAATTTAAATGGTACACAGTAGCAAAAGCTCTTGAGACGGTTTTGGAGCCCTCGGATCTAGAATCAAAACCCAATCCGCATGTTTCCTGTTTGCACCGGTGAAGTGATTTCGTGCCCTCTTATGAACGGGATAACGTCATTTCGACAGCTGCATTGAATCTTATTAAATTTGATCATTTGTTGAAGTCTATTACATGCTACACGTTTTGCACTTTGTATGGCGATTGTATTGATGGGAATACACATTTAGGAATCGCCATGGAAGAATTTTTAGGCATATTTGGGTGGAAAATAGGCTATGAGGAAGTCATTAGGTGACCGCCAAAATAACTTTACAAAAAGTAACTGAAAAATAAGTCAGGAGATTTTGACTATCATTGCAATCGCTTCTGATGCTCACTTCGAAGTACCCGTGTCAAAATTGAAACGAATTGTGAAAGTTGAGACCTTAACATCCTACTACTGCAAGTGTTGCTTCCATATTCTCTTTGTGATCACTTCAATGATTTGATGAAACAGTCGCCGTTGCCTTTTATTGGCTATCGTTAGCTACGATCTACGTCCAGATTTCTAAATTAAATTTATGTATCCCAAATGGCAAAGTATTGTATTCTCCATCAGAAACTGGCAAGGATGATAGTTTTCCATGTGGGTGAAAGCTAAGTTTATTTTTCCATTTATAATGTTACCCACTTACATCAATTGAAAACGCATAAGCGTAAAGTTGTAGGTGAGTTAATTATTCCTTCTTTTGAGTAAAACTAATGCATTAAAAGCTCTCCCTTTTTGAGATACTCTAAGAAAATATCGTTGATGTGTAATTGGGTCTTGCTTATTGTCACTCAATAAAAGTGAAAGGTGCTCTTGAGAGATTCAACGACTTATGTTAGAGAAAAGGTTGGAAAAGTAAATCAATGGGGGCTGATTTGGGGTGCTAGTGCAGTTGAAGTCTGGCTTTATTAATTTATTTCAACCTCAATGCGCTTAATATTATTTAAGTGAATGAGGAAAAAATAGTGAGCTTAGTCGGATGTAGCTGCGGAGAAAGTGAAGGCTTGACCACTCGGGGACCAGTCTTTGCTCCATTTATGGAAGAACCAACTACCTCGTAGAATTGCTTACTTTCGTATAGGCGTGAGTCCAGCTGAGCTGGCGTAAAAAATAATGCGATTCTACAGGAACTGCATCGCTTTATCGAGTACCATATCATTGTGCAATTATCGTTAATGTCCTACTTGTTGACTTTTAATTTACTAGAAAAGGCTATAGAGTTACTTTGCTACTTATCCGATGCAGACTGGACAAATTCTGGAAGAGTTATGAGGAGAGACTGAAAAATCGGTTTCTGTCTATCTATTCCAGATTGGTGACTCAGACGGCCCTTAAATGTGGCGGAGCTCGCAAAAGTTCATTACACTTTGGGTCATTCAGGCATGAGGAGGGGGAGAGCTCGTTTTCTCGCTAAATGCGCGAGGTAACGGTGTAAACGAGACGGAACTGAAGAATGACGTGGCAGTGTCTTTTTTGTCGTTCACTTAAACACGTCGCTCGGTCCCTGGGTGCCACCTCGACTTGGCTTGGCTAGCAGAGACCATTGTACTTTTATTGGCTGATTATTTTGCAGTTCTCTAAACTAATGACTAAACGATGTGGCTTTGTTACCCTACCCTACACGAAAAATTAGTTGAAAAGACTAAAACAATATAAAAGTTGACACGGGTATGTCACACTCAAGGGAATGGGATGCCGATGTCTAGAAAGCAAGGCATTCAGAGATGGAGTTTCTGGGAGGAAGTTCATACTATTATCGGCTCAAACAATGGGATAACGAAGGCACCGAACGTTCGGATGATGAGTGTTCACAACGGGGAGCATGAGGATTACATACTGTGAAACACACCAGAAGGGATAGGCCGATTGGAAGTTAGTTAAAAGCTAGTGACAGTTTGATAGGCACAATACAACAACATTGCTACTCACAATCTGTGAAGACATTAGACATCGTGAATGGGCAATAACTTAGAAGTATCCTAGAGACTATTGATGTAAGAGCAAAAATTTAGTTGCGGAATCAAGAAACTGTTAAACTGCCATAGATCCTGATGTGTCTCTGTCTCTTCTAGATGAAGTATAGGGACGACTTCTAGCAAGCCTGTTAAATGGGTTATTTCCGTCTCGTTTATAGATGGGTGTGCGATAGCGTTTACGCTGCAAACCTTCACACCAACACCCG